CCTCCCTCCATCCATCCATCCATCCATCCATCCATCTACCCATGCGTCTGTCCACCCATCCATCCAATCATCCATCCGTCCATCTATATTGTGGATGTCATTTTTTAAATTAAAATAATAATGTTTTAGGTAGTAGGTAAAACAAAACAAAACCCATGGCCCTGTCATCCTGATTCAGTCTATCTTTTTTTTTTTTTTTTCAGATGTCTAAACAAGATTTGCTGCATTTCCAGCCGTGTACTGTACATGCTGTTACCCAGACACCTCAGTTCATCCTGGTACTTGCAGCTTCTCTTTCTTAGCAGCACCTCCTGCCCCTTGCCTTTAACTCCGAGTGGTTAGTCACCTCCTGTCATCAACTCCAAACCCAAGTGCCTTCAGAGGATAAATGTTGATGGAACCCAAAGATGAATATCCAACGCATTACAAGAAAGCCGTTTGATAATGTATGCGACTCTATGCAGAGTGAAGATGAAGTATGACATGCATTGTTTTTTCTTGTGTGTTTAAAAAAGAATCACGTTTACATGTAAAATGTAATTACTTATTGTATTTATGTGTATATGGAGTTGAAGGGAGTATCGTGCATATGCCATTATCATAAATTAAGCAGGAAAAATATTGCTGCATCACTTTTATTGCTTAAAGTTGTCACTATTCTGATTAGAGCTGTTCTACAATAACACACAAATCCTATTAGGTTGATTGCAAGTTTGAAGGAATTCTGTAGTAAGGAAGAGGTTAGAAAACAATACTCATATCAGACATAGCCTGACCTCCAGTGATGTAAGATATTAATTAACTAATTAGAATATAAAACATAATTACAAAAGTAAATGAACACCCTCCCCCATTCTCCTCTTCTCCTACAATGAACCGCCCCCACCCCGCCTCATATTATACAGAGATGCGGTTGAATCAAGGAAGGATTATCTTTTTGCAAATATCTTTGCAAAAAGGATTGACCTACGTTCCTGACATGAACCTGGGACTGGCAAAGTCTAAGTTAGGTATAAACGTAACAGAGCAAAGTGCCTTAGGTCAAGCTGGGCACGTTTGCTGTTCTAGCATTGAGAGAATTCTTGGTTGCTTGCCATTTGATTTTGCATTCCAACCCCGGAACTTTTTGCCTGGGCTTCTTCATTTCTGACACTAGAGAACAGACAAGCAGTCACATAAGCAAACGCACTTTGGCATAGCATTCCTGTTCTAGGCTTTGGGAACTATGGGATAGTTGCTTTTACCTATTTCACTAACACATTTCATTAAGGTTCCAGTTATAAATGTTTTGTTAATATTTATTGAATGAATATAGAATGCAACACCGTTCATCAGTAACTTATTTTAAATGGGTCCAGTAATACATATGTAGTATAATTTCTAGAAATAAACTCATAACCAGCATATAATAATATATAGATATAGTTACAGCAAGAAATACGCTTGCCGGCATACAAAGCTTAGTACTATTATGTTGTGGTGATAAAGCATGCTGTAAAATGTAATAGGTAAATAAATAATAATGAAGAGTTTATAAATGGAACCTTAATATATACTGTCTCCTGTAATTTTAATATAATATGTTTTACTGTTATCTGTCTGCTGTACATAGGATGTTCTTTTTTTTGTATTTTAGTACTGAAGAAATATCAGCATTTACTTTTACCAGACACAGCAAATAACCAGTCATGCAGTAATATACACAAGTTTGATTTCTTTTTTGCTTCAAGTTGCACGATCGTTCCGCAAGACATATTAGTTAATCCCATTCCACATAGGGGTTTAATAAGAGAAGTTTGTCTTGTCTGTCTGATTTGGGGTGACTCTTTCACCCCTTTCTGTTAATAGTGATCTAATTTCTATGTGTAATAGAAATGATCCATAACATTTGTCTTAATTACACTTTTCATTTTGATAAAATTATTTCTGTTGCTTCCTTTGAGGTTGATTTTGGTTTTGTTTTGTTTTCTTTTGCTGCCTCTTCTTTTATCTTTTTTTTTTTTTGTGGAACTGTAGTCCCAACAGCAATGAAAGGTTGGGAGACTTCATTAAATGTAACAGTCGTAAAGAATGAGTAGGGTTTCTGTTTCGTTGTTGTTTGGTCAAGCAATACAATGGTGTGGGGATGATGCTGTTAATATTTAGAATGTATCATATTTTCCTGTAAATTATTTATGTTAATTTTTTTGATAACAAGCTTCTCATACAAGTGGATAAAACTTCATTTGTTTGCCAAAGACTGTAAATATTTATTTATTTGTTCACATGGTCAGACTTCACCACTGATGCCCTACATCTAGCTAGAGCCTCCTTTTTATACTTTAAAGATCAATAACAGGAAATAAATTGTAAAAAGGTTTTCTATGAATGAATCTCTCTCCCTTTTTTAAAGGTAATTGGCAAGGTTTCTGCTGGGGGGAAAGGAAGATAATTCCAGTAGGGAGGAATTAGCATTTTGCTTCCTGTAACCTACACAAGCGTGGTGCTTGTTCTGGTTTTCCCTTTCTACCATTCAGGGTGAAAGGCAGGTTGATGGTCTGCAGAAACTCCATCTCACCCAGGTCTCAGCACATCCGTCTGAGTCACCCAGTATCGTGCTGGTCCAACCACTTAGCAAGTCACCTCCTGCCAGTCTCGCTGTCAGAAAAAGGAGCAGGATTCTGCAGTGGGTTTGGCAGGTATCCCGGCAACGATTCAGAAAAGGGGAACAACAGGAGAAACACCTCTTGCTGACACAGAGAGCTGTGCTTCTCTGCACCCCTTCCCCTTCCGACCCAGGGAGAGGAGGGGAAAGAGCAAAAACTTAGTAAGCGAACACTTCATAATGATGTACACAAAAATAAATTTCCAACTTATCAGTGGGAGAAGAGAAAAACAATACTGCAGTTTGAGTATTTCTTTAGGAGTTCCCATGTATTTTTAGGGGTTCCTGAATTATAGTGGAATCAAATGTAGGGGAAAAATGAGAGACAGCGAGGTATAGAGGGAGAGAGAGAGAATGAGAGACAGAGACAATAAGCAAGTAAGAAAGAGAGAGAGAAAAGAAGAGAAAAGGAGAGGAGAGAATAGTGTGTGTGTGTGAGAGAGAGAGAGAGAGATTGAAGAAAAAAATAAGCATATTTGGCTAACATTGAAGAAAAGCAAGAGTGAGTCAGACGGTGAAGCAATAAGATATAAGAAAGGCCATCTGAGGTGACAGATGTGAACTGAAGGTCCAGCTCTGACTTGAGCAATAGAATGTGTGGATATTGTTACATAAACATGGAGGCTTACGCGCGTAAGTCAGGATGCCTTTGAAAAGTTTAGAGACAAAACACTAAGGGAAGTGATTCTGGTTGGACTGTGGGTAACTATTGGAAGAAGCCTAAATGTACATCTTACTTGGGGAAAAAAAAAATATATATATATATAAAATAAACAAACCAATTGCTGTTGAGTCAATTCTGACTCATAGCAACGCTATAGGTCAGAGTAGAACTGCCCCACAGCATTTCCAAGGAGCAGCTGGTGGACTCGAACTGCTGATCTTTTGGTTAGAAGCCCAGCTCTTAACCACTGCTCCACCACATATATGCATACATATATACATATATATATACGTATAATATGTTTAATAATGGTGCTTTGAAGTCATGCATTACAACAATGGTATGCATTTCTCATATACTCAGATTATTTTCTGCAATTTATTGGAATATATAAGTTTTCTGACAGCCAGCTGCGTTTCCATGCACCAGCAGTGGCCGTATTAGGCCCTGTGTCGCTTAGATGACATTTTCATGGTCTGTGAATGGACCCTGAAGGAGCCCATGGCGTCCTGGGCTCTATCTCTACCCTAGTGGAGAAGCAAGCCCGGCTCAGACTCCGGGCGTTCGCATTTTCTGGGAGAGGAAAAATCTGTATTTCTCCTTCTTTTCCTTCTGTTTAAGGGTGCTGTCATGGCTTAAATTATGCCCCCCCAAATATATGTTGAAGTCTTAACCCCTGCACCTGAAATGCGACCACGTTTGGGAATAAAGGTTTTCTTTGTTATGTTAATGAAGCCACACCAGAGTAGGGTGGGTCCTAAACCTAATCCCATCTGAGTGGTGTCTTATAAAGGGGAGAACAGTCAAGGAGACAGTCACACATGGGGAAGACAGACACCATGTGAAGATCCCTCTACAAGCTGAGGAACGCCAAGGATTGCCCCTGGCTAGTGACAAGGAAGGATCCTCTCCTCAAGCCAATGCTTCCAGCCAACAAAACTGAGACAAATTCTTGTTCTTCAAAGTCACTCACTTGTGTGCTTTTTTGGTATGGCAGCCCTAGGAGTCTGAGACAGGTCCTAACATGGTGCAAAATTATAAGCCTTCAAACAAGTGGCTTTGTGAACCACAGATCTAAAAGAAGCCAGAGATTGTACTAATGCAGAGTGCCTAGCCCCAGACTCCTAGTGAGCCTCGCTGTCCACTCCTCCAGTGACCAACTAGCCCACTTGTTCTTACCCATGCACAAACCTTTGTCTTAGGATGGGTAGGTGGATTAAATGCTAGGACACGCCCAGTCGTAAGTTATCAGATGAGGCATCCATAACTGCGGAAGGAGAGAAGGACTCCAGGGTCAGAGTCATCCTCACTCGAGCATCCCTGGAGCTGGGGGTGGGGGGGAAATCACTCCAGCTGCCAGCACCTCTGAACTGTCAGCTTTATAAGGGGATCCCTCTGTAGTCTCTGTAGGCATCAAACCCTTGTAGCAGGCTTTGCTTAGTGATTCTGAGTCTCACAAAGTGATGTTTGGGGGGATGGTGCATAGTGACATAATGGGAACAGTGAGAGGCAGGTGCTCGACTGCGGTCCTGTGACTTAAATGTAGAATACCAGTTATCATGGCATCAGCACCTACTCGTGACAACTCCACGTGTCCCAAAGTAGAACTGTGCTCCGTCAGGTTTTCAATGGCTGGTTTTTCAGAAGTAGATCTCCAGACCTTTCTTCGAGGTTGCTCTGGGTGGACTTGAACCTCCAACCTCTCAGTTACTGTTTGTACCATCCAGAGACAAATTTTAGGATTAAAAGAGAGGATTCAGATAAGGCCCTTAGCACAGGACATGTGACACGTGTCAATTCTCCCCACTCTCTTACAAAGATCCTAGGAAGTCTTACCTGTGGTGACCCAGTGAAGGAGGAGAAAACACCAGGGAAGTCACCTCCCCGTGAAATGCATTGCCCAGAAAAGAGGCTGGTCCCTGCTCCCAGTGAAGGGAAGCTTGGCAGAGAGCACGGGCTCCATGGGAAATAGAGCTGCTTGCTGCCAACTGGAGGCAGGGAACTCTGGTGTTGGGAAGTCTCATGCCATTCATCAACAAGTCTGGACCATGAGCAGCCAAGTGTCAACCCAACGGCAGCATTGCCTGATCCTCACTGCCTTGCACAATGTGGGGGTGGCAAGATCTCCTCCCTTGAACTTCTCTTGGCGTTCACTCTTGGTGAGGCTGGCTTGAGTGATTGTCTCTGGCACTGAGCCCTTGGTGATTCACCCGCCTTTGGCCATCATTGAGGGTGGCTGGCCATTTCTAGTGGCACAGCCAGAGGACTCTGCTATTTATAGACTTGCCTCCCATAAATCACTGTCAGTGACACTTGGCCATAAGGATCTGTGAACACTTCCACTACTTCTCAGACATCTTTTTTGTATGTAGTAACTTTTTCACCCCAAAACACCCAAGTGAGTTATTAAGCAGAGATATTTCAATCTTAGGGCTTCCAGCAAAGATGCTCTCTATAAACAACTTGACATGGCAGCCTTAATCAGAGAACATCACATACAACAACTTTAAATGAAGATGGACACCAAGTGGTTTGCTTGGCTTGCGTTTCCCAAGGAGGGAAGATGAGGTAGCTTCTGTTAAACTCCTCGGTCCATTGTGTGCACCTGTTTTATTTCTGTGACTTCCAGAGCTTCTCAGTGTTTATCCTCTATTTTGCCTTAAAGGTGTGTTTCTGCCTAGTACATTTATGTTTAAAGACGATTTTATGGCAAGGTAACTATGAGCCACCAAAGGGTTGCTTTTATTTAAAAAAGGGTGTAGAGAAAGGATCAAAGTATTAGTACAATAAAACTTAATTGAATTTCATTTTATATGCTATTTATTTACTTTCAAATTGTTCTTTATTATTTATACAAACTTGTTTTGTTGTTCAGTGGATTTATTTTTCTATACGTGAAAATTCTTTAGTTTTCCTGGGGTGGAATAGGGTACGTGATTTTCCCATTGAAAAAAAAAATAGGTATTTTTTTCTTTTAATATGGTTTCAGGAAAAATTATAGTTTTTAAACAAGAAATACATTTATATATATATATATATATATATATATATATGAGCCCTGGTGGCACAGTGGTTAAGAGTTTGGCTGCTAAAGAAAAGGTCAGCTGATCGAATCCACCAGCTGCTCCTTGGAAACCCTGTGGGGCAGTTCTACTCTGTCCTATAGGATGGCTATGAGTCAGAATCAATTTGATGGCAACAAGTTGGTTGGTTTATGTATATATATATATACCTCATGAAGACACAAATTCCTCCTTAAGAAGTAATTTCTTTAAAGATTACTATCTTGTAGATAAAAATAATTGGCAATCCAGGTGGAGATTTTCAGCCACTCTGGAAGAGTGAGGAGGGGGAATAGAATCAGAAGTATTCTATCAGATTCTTGGAGTTTCTTGCCATGTTTGCAGACGATCAACCTTCGCCACAACTTGGTGAGCCCTGGACCAGTTCTTAAATGGGACAGACAATCCCCGAACTGGGTTCAGGTCCTAAATAAATGGATGACTAGGCCCTCTATATTGTTTATCCTCATTGTCTCTTGAAGGATATTCAAGTAGTTGACTATAGTTTTGTACTATTGCATGTTGTTTGATAAAAAGTATAATTTTCAGACTATGATAAAATCCACTGCTAGAATGCCAAGCTGTCTCAATCAAAGGGCTTTATAGGTAATTTCTTTTTATTTCCAAGCTCTTTTTTCTCTAATGACATACATTTCTGGGACTAAAAATGGAAATTTCAGCAAAATTGCAAGATTCAAGATCAACACACAAATATCAGTTGTGTTTTTGTATGCTAGCAATGAACAATCTGAAAAGTAAACTAATAAACGATTCTTTTTACAATAGCATCTGAAGGAATTAAACACCTAAGGATAAATGTAAGCAAGGAGGTGAGAGAACTGTACACCGAAAAAAAACTACAAAACATTTTTGAAAGAAATTAAAGATTATATAAATAAATGGAAAGATATCCCATGTTCATGGATTGCAAGATTTAATGTTAATATGACAATACCACCCAAAGCAATCTATGGATTCAGTTCAATCTGAATCAAAACTCCAGCAGCCTTATTTAGCAGGAATGGAAAAGCCAGTCCTCAGATTCATATGGAATTGCAAGGGGCCTTGAGTAACCAAAACAATATTAAAAAGAAGAACAAAGTTGGAGGACTCACATTTCCCAATTTCAAAACTTATTAAAAAGCTATATTAAACAGAATACTGTGGTACTGGCATAATGATAGAAATATAGACCAATGGAATAGAATTGAGAATCCAGAAATAAACTCACACATTTATGGCCAGTTGATTTTTGACACAGATGCAAATCCATTCAATGGGAAAAGAATAGTCTCTTCAACCAGTGGTGCTGGGACAACTGGATATCCACATGCAAAAGAATGAAGTTGGACCACTACCTCACACCATATGCAAAAATTAACTTAAAATGGATCAACAACCTAAGCTTTAGAGCTAAAACTACATAACACTATATAAAAACCCAAACTTGTTACTGTCGAGTCCCTTCCATCTAATATCACCCCTATAGGAAAGAGTAGAACTGTACCACAGGGTTTCCAAGGATGTAATCTTTACAGAAACAGACTGTCACATCTTTCTCCCAGCAGAGTGGCTGGTGGGTTTAAACCACCAACCTTTTGGTTAGCAGCAAAAAGCTTAACCACTGCGCCACCAAGGCTCTGCTTAAAACTATATACCCATTGCCATAGAGTCACTTCTGACTCATAGTGACCCTAAAGGACAAAGTAGAACCATCCCATAGAGTTTCCAAGGAGTGGCTGGTGGATTTGAACTGCTGACCTTTTTGTTAACAGCCAAGGCTCCCCAAACTGTATAGGCCTATATAAAACTACATATAACTCTTAAAAAAAAAAAAAAACAGGTTAAATCTTATGATCTCTGATTTGGCAATGAATTCTTAACAATAACACCAAAAGCTTGAGCAACAAAAGAAAAAATAGATAAATTGTACTTTATCAAAATTAAAAAGCCTTTATACAAAAGACATTATTAAGAAGGTAGAAACACAACCTACAGGATGGGAAATAATATTTGCAAATGATGTATTCCATAAGAATCTACAACCTAAAATATATAAAGAACTTTTGCAACTCAACAATAAAAAACAACTCAACTAAAAATGGGCAAAGGCCTTGAATAGACATTTCTTCAAAGAAGATATACAAATAGCCAAAAGCAAGTAAAAATATTCTCAACATAATTAGTCATTCAGGAAATGCAAATCAAAACTGCAATGAGATACCACTTTACATCCACTAGGATGGCTATTATATGTAATATATATATATGGAAATCACAAGTATTGGCAAAGATGTGAAGAAATAGGAACATTTGTCCATTGCTGGTGAATGTAAAATGATACAGCTGCTGTGGAAAACAGTTCCGCAGTTACTTAAAAAGCTCAACAGAAAATTACTCTATGAACCAGCAATTCAACTTCTCGGTATATACCCAAAAAAATTGAAAGCAGGGACTCAAACAGATACGTGTGCACCAATGTTCACTGCACATTTTAGAACTAGATAGAGGTGGTGGTTCATGGCATTGTGAATTTACTAAATGCCACTGAATTGTGCATTTTAAAATGGTTAATTTTATGTTCTTTTAATTTCACTTCTATAAAAAAAGAAAAGATGAGAAATACATTATCGTAATTATTGAACACACTCAGTTAATGACATAGTGAGACAAATAACATTGAATTAAAGACCTTTTTGTTCAGTAAAAGCAAAGGTTTAAAATATACCTGCAGAACAAAAGAAAGCAAAGCCCTGAAGAAGTCTCTGCAACTCCCTCTGTCCTCTTTGTGATTTTGTTTTGTGCTTCTGATCCCAAACCCTCCAGCTCTGTCTGTGCCTAAATCCTGCCAATCTTGGGTGGAGGTATTGTTCTGTGTGGAAAGAAAAGGCATACCTTTGAGTGAAAAACAGATTCTGGAGTCAGAGACGTCTTTATTCTGGTTTTAGCTCTGCCATTATTAGCTGTACAAGTAATTCATATTCTCTGAGCCTCACTTTCCTCATTTATAGAATGATATCTGCTCCCCCGAGTTTTCATGAGATGAATGAGGCAGTGTGTATAATGTCTCCATGTGTCTAGCACAAAGATACTCAGTAGGTG